ACTCAAAAGTTAGTGTTCACCAAAAACTAATTAGTGCCTATTTCATGTTGTGGAAAGATAAAATATCAAAGTCCTATGGAGATGTCTTATTTATATATTCAGTATTCCAGAAATGAACGGGATACTCAAAAAATTAAACAGGAACATCCTTTACTTATGGAAAACAGGATAAAATAAATCTAAAATTGTCATACATTGTTTTGAATAGAATGGAATGATCTGTCCTCTCAGCTCTAATCATGAATATAGACTTTTTAAGAGTGTTCTTTTTTCCTTGCCTATTTCTAATAGTTAAGTACTTCCAAACAAAAGTTAATTCTGGACATTGTTATATATGAAAAGAGGTTTTGGCCAGAGGAGGTGCTATTTGAAACAGCCAAATTAAGTTGGCACTAACTACAAGCAAATGACTATGCCTTAATATTAAACTAAAATTTCCCTGGTTCACTGGTACAAGGCTAATTTCATCCAGAATGTAGACAAAAAGACAAGTGATTGGTTAAAAAAAAAAAAAAAGAAGAGTAAGAAGCTTTCACTAAACACCATACAACTATCTGGCACCACTTCACAACAGTCGATTATTGAATAACTTTAATAACAGGTATTTTTTTTATCTGCTCCTTTAAATTGTTTTGTCTAGGGGCACCCGGTGGCTCAGTCAGGTTAAGCACCCTACTTCTGCTTAGGTCATGATCTTGGGGTCTAGTCCATGGGTTTGAGCCCCTGGCTGGGCTCTCTGTTCATAGCTCAGAGTCTGGATCCTGTTTCAGATTTTGTGTGTGTCTCTCTCTCTGTCACGCCCCCCCTCACCCCCCGACTCACACTCTGTCTCTCTCACTCAAAAATAAATAAACATTAAAAATTAAAAAATAATAAATTGGTTTGTCATAGGCTAGCCTGTGTATTGAGGAGGGGATAATTGGAGGGTGGGTATGGAAAGGGGAGAGATGAAAAGATACACTGATGAAGAGGAGTAGGGGACAGGGGCTGGAACAGACTGTGGGAAGGCCACTATCCATAGGGAGAATGGGTCGCACAGGACAGTGGAGGGCTTTCCAAATTTCTCAGGCTTAGTCCTTGCTGACAGTAAGCAAGTCTAGGAAGAGATGCTTAAGGGATTGCCTGTCTGTGCCATTAACAAGTCTATAGACTTCTTTATTAAGGTCACCTAAAATTTGAAAAGCTATTCAGTTGCTATAGAGTGTCAAAATTATTAACCTTTACAGCCCTAAGAATATAAAGAAGTCCCAAATCTCCATTTTTCCAGCTATAATTATTCAAACTCTTCTGGTCCTTGTGAGGCAAGAGCAGGTGGTTGCAAGGTAGAAAGGGCCTGGTAGTTAGTTGCTTCTTGTTGGTCTCTTGATGAGGTATATGTATCCCTCAAATAATACCAGCATTATATTGAAAATCTGTAACTAATTACTGATAATGGATTTTTCTAAAAACTTTACAGACCAAACAAGGATCCTCAAGCTTAATTTTAAAAAAGTCTAGAGTTTCTGACAAATTGGTATTACAATTCTGAGATTAATCTTAAGCGTGAGTATGTAACTGGACAGCTGGAACTTAATTTTTCCCATTCACAGGAAGAACTGTTTCAACAATGTCCTATCCAATGATTCTCAGCCTGGAAAAGGAGGGGAAAGGTGATTTTGGCCTCCAGGGGATATTTGGCAACATCTGGAAATATTTTGGGTTGTCATGACTGGGGAGCGCTACTGGCAACTAGTGGGCAGAGGGCAGGGATGCTGCTAAACACCCTACATTGCACAAGACAGCTCCTCACAGCAAAGACTGATCTGACCCAAAATGTCAGTAAGTGCTGAGGTCGGAAAACTGGTTTACTCCAAATGCTTTAACCATTATTAAACCATAATACCATAATGGTGAAATTAAGAAGTCATTATTATTTTCATTAATAATTAATTTGCACAATGGTAGTTAGAAAAAAATAGACCCTGCCTAAAGTTTTATGTTGGCTATAAAGCTATACAGAAGGAAAAAAAGCTATACAGAAAGGAAAGGAAAGGAAAGGAAAGGAAAGGAAAGGAAAGGAAAGGAAAGGAAAGGAAAGGAAAGGAAAGGAAAAGAGGAGGGAAGAGGAAGGGAGGAAGAAAGAGGAAAGAAGGAAAGAAAGAAGGATGGGAGGAAGAGGGAAGTAAAGGAAGGAAGGGGAAGGAAAGGAAAAAGGAGAGAAGAGTGAAGGGGAAAAAATTACTTACTTTTATTCATAAAAGCATTCACAATTTCAATGAACTAAAAAAATCATCTTTCTCAGACAATACACTGAGTAAAGTGAGGAACAAAATAATTATAAACTATCCTACTCATAAATACTAATTATTATTAAGTTGTTATTCTTCAAATATATTAATATATCATCTGAAAATCAGCCCTCTTATCAGGAGCTATGATAACAACTAAAAGACAAATGCATTAGCACATTGTTTAGTTCCCTTGGTTATAGGGCAATTTAGAAAAATTAAAGAAAGCTATTGAATAGAAATCCTGTAGTTTGGGGATACTACAGTGTGCTCAGCCATTTAGCTCCAACTCACTTCCTATCTTCTCCTTTTCCTGGTAGATTTTTCTTCCAATTAGTAGGGACCGTTTACTGTGGCAATCATTTGTTTAAAGTCCTTGAGAAGAGGGGCGCCTGGGTGGCTTAGTCGGTTAAGCGTCAACTTTTGCTTAGGTCATGATCTCACTGTTCCTGGGTTAGGCCCAGCGTTGGGCTCTGTGCTGACTGCCAGCTCAGAGCCTGGAGCCTGTTTCAGAGTCTGTCACTCCCTCTCTCTCTGACCCTCCCCTGCTCACACTGTCTCTCTCTCCTAGAAATAAATAAAACATTAAAAAAAAATTTAAAGTCCTTGAGAACAAACAGTAGCTAACATTTTCTAGGCATCTACAAATAAGATAAGCAAAATCTTTTTTTCTTTTTTTTTTTTTGCTCCTCTAAAAAGAATCTTTGGTATTAAAATGGTGAAATGAACAAGAATAAGAACCTCACACAGATCAATCCATGGTGAAGGTGCTCAAGAAAAATTTGATAATATGGGGCGCCTGGGTGGCTTTCGCAGTTAAGCGTCCGACTTTGCTTAGGTCATGATCTCGCGGTTCGTGGGTTCGAGCCCCGCGTCGGGCTCTGTGCTGACTGCCAGCTCAGAGCCTGGAGCCTGTTTCAGTCTGTGACTCCCTCTCTCTCTGACCCTCCCCTGCTCACGCTCTCTCTCTCTCTCTCTCTCTCTCTCCTAGAAATAAATAAAAACATTAAAAAAAATTAAAAAAAAAAGAAAAATTTGATAATAAATGAATGAATGAATTCTCCTTTTCTAAGGATTGTTCTAAATACAAGCCTGAACTGGTATATTTTAACTTAAGTTTTAGAGTTACGTTTTCATAAATACCTATCATTGTACAAATGAATCTATAATCTAAGCTATCCTATTAAGACAATGTTATTAATTTCTTCTGCTTTTTGGCCTCCTAGCCCTGCTGCCTAAAGAATGAGTCAATTACTTGTGGTAACTATTGCAAATGTCTTCCTAATCCCACTGGAAATGTAAATGTGATCAGAGGGAAGAAAGGAAAGAAGCCCTAATGCCAGATTTTCAGCCACCACTTAAACTCACACTAGCACTATGGGAATGACTTTCTTCTTCAGGAACATCTTAAAATCTGGGATTATTTTAAGGAAAACAAATTTTTACAAAATGTTAGCTGTAAATTCATTTATTTTCCAGTTCCTGGTAAATGGTATTATGAATTTTCCTAAGGATTAATGTCTTCCATTCACTTTGATAAACCATTTGGACAAGGACTCTAGAAGAGCCCCAACTCTCAGAGTCAGTCGGCTTCAGTGAAAGGAGGAAGTAGAGAAGGTTAGAAAAGCAATAAGCACAATGTCTAAGTCATCACTTTGGGATGAACTGAACATGAATAAAATTGGGAAAGCAAAGTAAGAAAGAAGAGAAGGGGCAAGCTGGACCACCTCTGGGAGAGGAAGGGGCACCTTGGCAGGCATGAGATTGAAACGCAGTGTTACTGCCATTTTTACAGGGTAGTAGCAGTAAGTAAACTCAGCATTTAATTTAGAAATACTGAGTTAGGGCTCCAAAATACTTCTCTTATTCCGATCCTGCTCTTTGTGTATAATTTTTATTGTTTCAAAAGCCTTTTTTCCCCCAGAAGAAGTAATTCTTCAAACCCAGTTCACAGAACAGGATTTGATACATGCCACAAGTTCCAGTGCACTGTATTTCAGTAATACTTGACTGCGTTCCTACTATGTCTTAGGCACTGAGCAAACCTCAGGCACCCGAAGCCTAAGACCCATTATTTTGCTTTTGGCATATTTTCACTGAGTGCTTTCCCTCCCCCAAGCAAGTACCTAAGTCCACCAGACTTTTAACTCTTTATACCTCTTTAATCTTTTAACCCTTCCCTTCTGAAAGCTTCGTGTAGTCAGGAGTCTGGGTCTTATGTTGCAGTGTGCCTTTACCCAGGGGTTTGTCTACATGTTTCCCACAAGATAGTTGTGGATATGACTGCATCTCAGAGATAACAGAAATTTTTCAAGGCTTGATTCACAGGAAAATTAAGCGTTTTAATTTAGAAGGAAAAAAGAGAGGCCTCCTCTCTGCTCTGAGGGTGCAACCTCTAGGAGCAGTGAGCTCACCAAAGCAACTCCATTTCCTCACCTTGCCTCCAGCAGGCTCACACATTCTGTGGGCGCCGGGATAGGTGAAGAGCTGCTGCGCTTGCCGGTCCTCTAGCACTTTCAGGATTGCCTGGCAATCAGGTGCGTCATAGCTGTGTGTGAGAGACCATGTAAGAGTTTGATGGGAATTTAATGCTCAATTACTGTGAAGCAGCAACGACTCCTCCCATTTTACAAGGAGGTAGCTGAAGTCCCGGGCACACACGGGAAATGGTAGAGCAGGGAGGAGAAGCCAGATCTTGTGCTCCTGTACCCGCGCTCCTAACCACCTAGCTGTCTCCCAGCAGTCGGTCCACCATCCCTGAACAACCTGCCAGCCAGCTCTTAAGGTTATCACAGTTCTAGGCATCAAGCGATGAGACAAGGGCGGGGGGCGCTCTGGCCCCTCTGTGGCAGGAATACGGGTCCGGGTCCCCGGGGCACGCTTCGCTCGCCCGTGCAGGGGCGGAATGTGTTTGCTGGGATGGCTCCCGTCCGGGAGACAGACTGGGACCTGGCCAGAAAGTGGCGGCGGGACTCGCGGGGCGGGAGCCACCTCTCCGGCTGCGTCCGGTTCCCGCCCCTCAGACCGGGCCGCAGGGCGGGGCTCGGGTCGGGTCCGGGCCGGGAGCGGTAGCCGGCAGCTGGAAGCAGCCGCCGCCCGGGCCGCGCCGGGAGAGGCGAGGCGAGGCGAGGCGAGGCAGGGCGGGGCCGCGCGCGACGGGAAGGGGAGGCCGCGCCGGCCCGGCTGCACCCGCCGCGCACCGAGCGCCGCGATGGGGCTGGAGACCGAGAAAGCAGACGTCCAGCTCTTCATGGACGACGACTCCTACAGCCGCCACAGCGGCGTCGACTACGCCGACCTGGATAAGTTCGCGGACTCCGGCTCCGGCCGGGATCCCCACCGGCTCAACTCGAACCTCAAGGTGAAAACAGGGGCGGGCTGTAACCTGGGCCGCGCCACGGCCTGGGGGCGCTGGTGCCGCCTTTACCCCAGCCCGGACCCCACCCTCCTCCCTCGCCACTCGGTCAGCCCCTAGGGTCCGGGACCCAGAATCCATAGGCCTCGGGGCCGCCCGTGTAACCAGAATTCTTAGCCAAATTCCTGTGAGCCCAACTTCACCCTAAGAGAAGATAGGGCATCCCAGCTCTCTTCTCCCACACGAGCACCCCTCCTTCCCGGGGGGCCGCAGGTTGGGTGACAGTTCGGGATCCCTGTGTCTTGCCTCTGCAGGTGGGCTTCGAGGATGTAATTGCAGAGCCTGTGTCTACGCACTCCTTTGACAAAGTGTGGATCTGCAGCCATGCCCTCTTTGAAATCAGCAAATACGTGATGTACAAGTTCCTGACATTGTTCCTGGCTATTCCCCTGGCCTTCGCGGCAGGAATTCTCTTTGCCACCCTCAGCTGTCTGCACATCTGGTGAGAAGGGGTACACAGGGGTGGACCAACTTTCTGAAATGTAGGAATGCTCTTTGCCACCTGCCCCCTGCACTCCCCTGCTCCCAGGGCAGCTCGCAAGAAGGTGCATCAGTTCACCCACGCAACAGCAAGAACGGGGAGACCTGGTGGGGCAGTATGTTTTCTTTAGAATCACAGGTTGGGTTAGGAGTTTAAACAGATGCAATGTTCCTCTGTCCTCGGGTGTGAGTTTTCTTTCCGATGTTAATAAGGCCCAGCTGACTAGAGGTGGAGACCTGGAGGCCATGCTTCCTGCCACAAGCTGTTCTCTTATAGGGCTGAGTTAGGACTTGTGCCAGTAGTTCTGGGCTAGGCTCTTATTTCTTTCATCACCTTTTATTCAGTCACCACCTGTGCTTGGGGTAAAACAAAAGTGATCTCTGAGCACAACGCCAGTGACAGTATAATTGAACAGGGGTATCAGACCTGGTTAAGCGGTGCTATGGAGGGGGCTGCTCCAATCCTGCTACTAGCAAATGGCAAGGATGAGACTAGAGGAGATGCCATGTGTGTGCAATTGTGAGGGGCCCCCAGCACAAATGAATGAAAACTCAAGCTGCATAGGATAATGAAATGAGAAGGCCTCCAAATTACTTTTTCACCTATGAGACATGGGGAATGGCATCAACTTCAAGGGAAAAGAAGTATAGAAACCTACTAGGCATTGACAGGGTGTTTTGAGTAACTTTATTCACACTCAAAATGCATCGTAAAACTTTGGAGAATGTTTTAAGCATTAAAAAACTTTTGAAGGAAAATGTTGTATTTACCAAGAAATTGTTTTGTTATTGTATTAAAAGATACTCACTTTAACCTGAGAGAAAGAACATTCTGATCACCCCAGGAGTATTGTGACAGTTGTCAAGCTTGTGCTTTAGGGCAGTCCTGGCGAAATGTATAATCTTAAAATGCCTCTGTGTCTTTCTTAATCACTTTATATGGTGTTGCCACACCCTAATACATGTTGTGTTCATTGCTAAACGTTAAGAAATTATTCTCAATTCCATTTTACGTTGTAAATCAATTTCCTTTAGTAACTTAGCTAGCTAGTTAATCAAATAAATTTACTGAATGTTCAGGTTGTGCTGGGCACTGGGCCCAGGATGAGTAAGACAGATGTAGAATCCACCTTCAGTTTATTCATAGCGTATGGCAACTGGCTAAGTATAGAAGTAGATGCTGAGGAAAACTCTGGTAAATCTGTTGATGAAGGGGGAGGCACTGGAAAGATAGAGATAGATCTAAATAGAATCTGAATAGAGAGAAAGATCTAAAAAGTGTTTTTTGTTTTTTTTTAAGTTTTGAGAGAGAGAGAGAAAGTGAGAGAGAGTATGTGTGAGCAAGGGAGGGGCTGAGAGAGAAGGAGAAAGAGAATCCCAAGCAGGCTCCTCGCTGTGAGCAGGGAGCCCAAAGTAGGCTTGGACTCATAAAACCATGAGATCATGACCTGAGCCAAAATCAAGAGTCAAACACTCAACAGACTGCACCACCCAGGTGCCCCTAAAAAAATCTTTAAAGGATAAATAAAAATTCACCAAATAAGTAAAGGACAAAGACACCAATTTAATTTGATCACTAAAGATTGAAAACAACTAAAATATACTGAAAGTGCCACAAGACTGGAAGAGGAATGAAAATCTTTGCCTTTATACGTAAGCAGATTCACAAAGCCCAGATGTACAGTTAACTCATAGTCTGATATTAGCACATGAATTTTTAAAAGGAGGCCTCAGCCAGCACATAAAATTTTGGATTCCTAATTAACTGAAATCAGTCATCTAACCTCTTTAAAAAATGTGACAAAATGAGTGGCCACATAGCATAGTGTGAAATGTTGGCTATGAAGCTATTTGGAAGTATAGAGTGCCATATTTATAATCAACAGAGCTTGTCTTTCCTAAAGCACTTGCTAAGGAATTGAAAACAAAATGGTTTTCATTTACTAAACGACAGAAAGTTATAAGTAAAGCTACAATTACCAAATGATCCTTCTCTTCACCTGGTTCTCTTGAAAAATGGAAGGTTTTTTTTTTTTTTTTTTTTGTATGTGGTGCTTCCAATGATGAATCGTCAAACCATTTCTTTTTCAGCCACATAAAATGTATTATTTAACCTCAGCTCGCTTTTCAGATTACATTCATGTGGGACATTAATATTTAACCATCATCCATTCATCATCAGGCAGCTGTGATTGCAAGCAAAAGAGTAACTAACTTCAAACAAAAATGGTTAAAAGTTAGTTTATAAAACTAACTTGATAAAACAGATTTATCATTAATGAATTACATTCCCATGACATGATAAGACCAGACCAAGGAGAGGCAGAGACCTTACAGAACAAATCTATTTGAGTAAGCCTTTCTTCTGTCTATTTTACTTCCCTTTCTTTTTTCTTTTGGCAGGGAATAAGGGGCTGTTTATTATAAAGAGGTTGGTGACCAAAGTTATGAAAGTATGCAGCAATAGATATTCAAACCACATCACATCTTCACAGTAGATCTGATTTTAGATTCTTTAAACAAACAAATAACAAAACAAAAACACCTGGAACTCAATCTGGTGATTTCAGATTGTTCTATTTATATATGATGGCCTCATATATACATTATAATAACAGCATCAAATAAATATTTCAAGGGTATATAATAAATGTTAATCTTGATAGCCAATCATAAGAGCGCCTGTTCTTACTTTAATTTGTGGTGATATGCTCAGGCCACATATCAAGTGAGAAATATAATGGGATAAGAAGTCAAAAGTTGTCATCATTCAGGTTTCCATTCAACTGTTTAGCTTGAAACACCCAGTAATTAATTTTCTTTAAAAATTTCTTTAAGTCTTTAGCACTTGGAACAAAACATGAGATAAATATAAGTGTATACAGACAGTCAATATGAATAATTCAGTATTCTAAAAATATCTCAATCAGACATTTGCCTGATCTTCCTTTCACCTTTGGCTAAGCACAACAGACCTTTATTTAAGCCACATTTTAATAGCAAATCAAGAAAATCAACCTTACTTCCTTGTGCCCATCCAGATAATAATAAAAATTCCATTGAAGCTCCCAGCAATTCCCAAGTATTGAAAGATACTTTTGTGCTCAAATAGCACTACTACAACAGAGAGCATTATTCAGAGGATTACATAGAAAATTAATCAGCCTGAGGAATATGCACATTTGCAGTTAAGAAAAGACATATAGAAAAAATTTCAGGATAATATAGGTTGTTTTGTCTAAGAGTTTTGATGGGGTTCTATCAAAATATTTGCAGGGTTCTTTAACTCTACCACACAGCTCTTTTTAGTGTATGTAATTACTATGGAAAATTAGTAATATTAAGCATGACAGAATGCTAAATTCACTTCAGCTCAAACCTTTAATAAAGGTCAAGGATGTCCTCACTTAAAGAGCTTCCATTCTAGCAGAAAAGACAGAAATATCATAATTGACTTATGATACCTTTTGGTAAATTTGACAATTAAGAGATTTTATTTTAGTACTGTGGAAGCACAAAAAAGAAGTCTCCAACCCAGCCTGGCTGTGGGGTAGGGAAGTGGAATGAGGAAACAGGAAAGGTTACCAGGTAGTAGAACCTTAGAGAAACAGGAAGAATTAAGCAGGTTAATGTTTAGAGGCAGCAATCAGGTTGATCCATTTACTGGTTTATTTATTTTTTGTTTTACTGATTCAGACAGCATGCCACCAATAGAAAGAATACTAGTGTTTATCATCTACACGCCTGTTTATTTTTTTAAGCAACATATTTCTGTGCATCTTATCACCATGTGGGTCACTGTTCATTTACTTGTTTCAAATGTTTGACCAAATTTAGGTAAATTAGGCCATTATTATATCTTTTCATGCATGTTCAAGAGTCAGTGGCCTTATTTGGTAACATCAATAATCCTTACACAAATCTCTTCTTCCATTCCAGGATTATAATGCCTTTTGTAAAGACCTGCCTAATGGTCCTGCCTTCGGTGCAGACAATATGGAAGAGCATAACAGATGTTGTCATTGCCCCATTGTGCACAAGTGTAGGACGTAGCTTCTCTTCTGTCAGCTTGCAACTGAGCCACGACTGAACACTTGAACCCTCATCTAGAGATTTGGATACTGTAATACGTCTGTGTTGTTACAATGTAAAAGCACTACTGTTCATTTCCCAATTGTTCTCATCCAGAAAATTTTTAAGATGAGCAACCACATTTAGAAATGTTTATTGGCAGATCTTTTCAAATAATCCTTTTCTAATTAGTAGCCAAGGATTTCATATCAAACTTTATAGCCAGAATTATGAGTAGGTTGGCAACACTTAATGTTAAAGGCAGACAGTTTGAGCTTTAGTACAAAAATATACATTTCATAGTGATGAATTTATAAAGATCAAGGGACATTTCTTAGACACTATAATAGTTTTGTGCACAACCACTCATAAAAATATGCAATTTCTTTTTTTTTTTACTCTGAAAAGTAATACTTTTAAAATTACCTTTGCAGAAAAAGTCATGGTTATACTTACAGAAAAAATATACAAAGATCCTAGAAACTGCAGTAACAAAAGCATGCAGTGGTAATAGGAGCTATCTAATATAATAAAACAAATGTGAAAATAGATTCATGAACATCTGTTCCTTTAAATAAGAAATTGTTAACCTGCAGGTGTATTTAATAAGATGTTTCATTTTACTGTATATTTTGCACTTAATGTAAATGTTGCTCTAATCGGATTGCTTTCAAGCACTTTTATTATATTTGTTATCTTATTGAACTAATATATAGAATGAATAAATGTATCTTTCCTGGGGAACTTCATTGGTGAGATTGCACTGTCTTGATTATGTAAGCATATATATCTTCTTTGGAAATAGAATATAAAAGAGGCTTTTCTTTTTATACAAGGCTTTTCTTTTTAAATTTTTTAAGCAAAATCCTAAAATGTTTTATGACTTATGTTTTTCTGGCTGTGACTTTAAAAATAATCCAGATCTAATTGGTATTTCATCTAGGAGATTCTTTCTCTCTCACAGTTAGAAATTAAACCTGTATTCTTCATTCCTGTTAATGTCTCACTTTACCTTTAAGTAATACTGGTGCTATTTAATAACACTCAACATAAATTTTTGACACTTAAGTACTATTTCAACTACAGTGATTCATGGAGAAAGACTTATAAGAAAGTTGTCAATTTGTTGGGCCCATGCTATTGAGCTACATATATATAAGTTAAAAAGTAACAGATACAGACTTTGAAGATGTTATCTGATATGGATTTTGTTACACAGCATAAAATTATTCTTATTATTTTTGAACTGTAGAGTTCTATTTCAATGTTATGAGTCACTGTTATTTTAAAAATTTCATTATCCAAAACGATAGGCCTGTACAAAAGATGTCTATGACATAAGCAGTTACTATAATTTACACATCATAAAAGTGTATAAATGCCCAAATTTCAGAATTATTATCAGAATCTGAATTAACATTCCTTTGAACATCTTCATAGATGACAAATGTTCATTCAATGAAGATTAATCTTACTTTTCCAAACTACCAGGACTAGTGAATATAAAGGATGACTGCACTGGAATACTACTAGGGCCAAAGTAGACAAATGATTAAGTTACAAAACTCCTTTCTTTTTGATGATAGCTACAAAAGATAGCTACAAAAACTTCAAACTTAGAAAAGATTCTCATGACCATTAGCTGAAAACTTTACCACTCATTTGACTATATAGATTTTATTATGTTAGTTAAAAAGGTCAATCAGTCTTATGACTTTACAGTTATACTATAAATGATACAACTATGTATTTGAAGTGTTTTTTTTTAAATATTTGGATCTGTTGATTGGCTAAAAGTATCTGATTAATAAAATATTTAAATAAATCATAAGTTTAAATAAATCATATCTTTTCAAATAGCTATTGACAAATTTTAAAGCCAAAATATACACACATAGTCATATAACAAAACCTATTAACTTTTAACAAGTGAGATATATGATTTCCTTATTTCTGAATAGTACTGATTACTGTCAAAATGAATTTTTATTGAGATTTGCCATTAACTATTTTATTTCAAAGACTGAAATTTTGTACCAAGTGGATCCAGGTTTCATGTGCAAACATGTTAGTTCTTTTATTTGGGGGTGGAGCAAATAAAAGATAAGTCTCCATAATAAACTTTCTAAAAAGTCATAACATGTTCATTGCTTTTATTACATTAAATACAAAACTGATCAATAAAGAACATTTTTAAACCTTGTTAAAAACCTATAATAGAAAAAAAATATTTATTCATGAATGGATTTGTGAAAAGTTATGGGATTGGTAATTTAATTGTTTTCCCATCACTTAAACTGGTTCCTTATAATTTTTTCTATTATTTGATAAATAGTATACACAATTAATTGTTCACAAACCCATCATACTTCATCTTCCTCATGAAATGAAGGTCTCTTGCTAATCCTAAATAAGCTGATAGTTCTGTTTTCAATTTTTTTAATAAGAAAGTAAAACAACATAAATCACATGTACTTGGATACTGGTGCCACGAAGCCAGGCTAGAGTTCAAAATTATTTTTGGAAAGTGAGTATGTGAAGAATAGTTGCTGATATTGGCATGGATTTTCCCATCAGTTAATCTAGAAAAATGACCAGTTTCTAATAATAAAGCAGGTGTTTGGCTTTTTAAAATGCTTTTTAAATTTTTGAAGAACTTAAACTTTTCCTCTTTTCAATAGTCATCCACATCCCATTGATTTATTTAGATGCCTTTCTTGGGAAGCTGTTACAGTGCAGTTGAAAGGGCCCTGCCAGGGCCGCTTGGGTGGCTCAGTCAGTTAAGTGTCCGACTTCAGCTCAGGTCATGATCTCATGGTTCTAGCTCAGAGCCTGAAGCCTGCTTCAGATTCTGTATCTCCTTCTCTCTCTGACCCTCCCCTGCTCATGCTGTCTCTCTTTCTCTCTCTTTCTCTCTCTCCATCTTTCTCTCAGAAATAAATAAAATATTAAAGAAAAAAAAAAAAAAGAAAAGGCCCTGCCCTCCGGGTTAGGCACCTAGATTCCAGTCTCAGCATGGCCATTACTGAGGTGTGTCACCCCCTGCAAAGGCTTTCATCTCGAGGTCTCAGTTTTCTTATCTTTAATGAAAGAACTGAACAAAAGTTTCTTTCAGGAGCTTCCCATCTCTTTGCTTTCTGTGATATCAGTAGGATGAAGCCTTTTCTATATATATGCAAACCAATCTAGCTGTTCAGACCAGGAATTTCTTAAAAATTACAAATTTTCTATCAGTTAGAGGGCTTATTGCTATAAATACAATAACAAATACATTCATGTTTTACTCTTCAGTTGATTGTGAAGATGAGTATGTGGCTCTAAGACAGGAATTCCTAAATATTTAACAATGCTGAGTATCATTGTTACATTTTCTCTGAAAATAATGTGTTACTCTATTTTTAATTAATTAAAATGTATTTTATTTGAAGATGTTTTTACTAAAATCACTGCTATAGCACCATGTTAATTGCAATCTTCAGCTCTTGCCTGGCTAGTTGCCACAGCCTCCTAATGGGACTCACCTCCAGCCTTCAATATTATCTTCTCTGATCCATCTTCCCCTTCAAAAAATAGTGATCTTATCAAGATTCCCATGACATTTCCCTGTGTAAAACTATCAATTGTATGTGATTCCCCTTAGACTAAAATCCAAACTCTTGAGCTATCTATACAAGGCCTTCACTATCAACCCATTGCTGTCTTCAGCCACTGTCTACTGTAGTCCTTACTGAAGTGCCATACTGCTCTTTTGTGCCCAACTCTCTCCTCTGTCCCCATGCCCACATCACTCCTCTCCTGGTGGCCTGTCCAACCCCGCTTCTAAAACTCCTCCACACCAAGTGGCTCTTCTGTGTCTTCAGATAAAATCTTATGCAAACTCCTATTGTCACTTCCTACATGGTAAAACTACCCCTGCTAATCCCCACTAGACTGCTAGATAGGTCCTTGAGAACCAAAAACATGACTTCCTCTTTGTTTCCCAGGATTCTGAAATGGTGCCTAGCACTTAGTCAGCTCAATCAATATTTTCTGAATGAATGACTGTGTGAATAAATAGTTGAAGAAAGCTTGGATTGACTGCAGAGCTGGGATGGAAATCACATTTCAACTTCATAATTTTCTTTATTTGCAAGAGAGGTTTGAATTGCACTGATTCTAATAAGATTTCCTTTCTCACTGTTTTCTCACTCATGAATCATCAAGGTGAGAAAACAAAAATGTATGTAAAACATATTAGGTATATTTCATCTTTTGGGGTAATGTTTGTCTTTACTCTTAATTCTCTTATCTTAAATTTATTTTCATTTCTCAAGGGTAGGAAATACTAGCACTTAAAAACTCATTTGAAAACATATTTTCTGGTGTTCTAAAACATTGTTATTTCTTTTAGTATCCTATTTCCCATTTTGAAAAGTGTAATACTAAAAGATTGTTTCATGGAGTTTTACGTTTTACAAAACCGAGTCCCATATGTTGTCTCATTTTAATCCCAGGACAAATTAAATAGCATAGCAGAGAAATCATATACATAATGGCTCAGGTTTTTTTTAGCTTGCAACTTTGTCATTTTAGAATGTTTATTTAAGATAACATGAGCTTACAGAATTTTTACAAGGCTACACATTAAGAAACTAAAAAAAAAAAAAAAAAAATGTAGGCAGTGCTACAGTGAAAACTTACCACCACTAATCCCTACCAGGATTTGGTATATTTCTTTCCTTCAAGGTATACTGTGGGGAGGACAAGGGAAATAATTATAGGAGAAAAAAGCAGAGGATAAAGATATAATAGATATTCACACAATAATTTGTAAGAGTAAGAATAATTTGGGCTTCCACAATTTAATCATCGAAATCTCCTCTCCCTATTCACCCCCAAACAGCAAAATGAGCAAAAGAAGGCACCCTTTGTTGTATTTTAAAACATTTTTGTGCCCACTCCTCAGCCTTTTTTTTTTTTTTTTTTTTTGGACTATATCTGAACTGCCCCTAATAGAACATTTCATTTTGATGCTTGCTTAAGTAAAGAGTACCCTTGTGTAGGGTAATATTTATATCTATAAACAGCCATCCATTACTTTATTTTTTTTAATATTTTTTAAAATTTATTTCTAGAAGAGAGAGAGAGAGACAGCGTGAGCAGGGGAGGGTCAGAGAGAGAAGGAGATACAGACTCTGAAATAGGCTCCAGGCTCTGAGCTGGCAGTCAGCACAGAGCCCGACGCGGGGCTCGAACCCACGAACCGCGAGATCATGACCTAAGCGAAAGTTGGACACTTAACTGACTAAGCCACCCAGGTGCCCCAGCCATCCATTACTTTAATGTGAATAAGAAGGGGATATTGAAAACTACATAAAGGACCTGAGCATGAAGGCCTTGACCTGAGTTCCATATGAGAGTACCATACACTGATTAAAAGACACAGCACCAAAGATCAAACTGGGACAGGAAAAGGGAAAATAGGAGGCTCCAATGACACAACCATCACACATCACAGTTTTGCTTTAGGACACACCTGCCTCAAACCTCTAGTGAAGGGGGACAATGGAAAATTAGCAGGGATAGAGGGACTTTCTAAAGACTTTCCTTTTCTCCATAAAGAAATGTTATGTATGTCTTATTGAATAAAAAATGCTACAAGGGGTCATGAGGGCTTTGCTACCACCATGTGCCCTAAAGGCAATGCAGAAAAGCAAAAGTTAAAGTATAAAGTGCCCTACAAAGTCTGACCATCTGTCTCTCTCCCACC